AACAAAATACATTTGTGTCTTCACCTTTTGAGGAGGACATTTTCCATAGGCTCCATGGAGATTTTGCTGTGTGATTCTCACTAATATGTGTTTACAGTGTCTCTGCCATGGAGATTATAGGCAAATGGTGTTTACAAGCTCTCCTCGTAGTTTATAGAATTGCTGTGCTACATAGCTATTCACTGTGATGTTCACACTATTTGTTGGAACTGGACCTTTTTAAAAGAAATCTTTGTGGCAAACATAATAGTATCAGAAAATAAAGTCAGTTCTTCTGTGAGACAGTTCCTATTATCTTTTCATTTTGAGAAATTATTCTCAGTTCAATTGTATCACCATGGTGATGTGTTTGCATTTCAACAAACCAAACCAAACAAGACCAAAAGTAGAGCTCTGCACATCTAGCTCCTGTCCAAGACTTCTTTATTGCAGTATCCTTATTATTAAATAGCATCTCCAGTGTCCTGGCTAAAAATCACAACAATGAAGCAATTTCCTCAGCCAGACACAACAATCTGGATTGCTAATCTCAGAATTCTAAGAAATCACATAAAAGTGAAAAGGAGAATGGGCATTAGAGGGGCAAAAATGAAATAAACTACCAACCCACAAATAAATAGAAATATACTCCTCTAAAATAAGATTGTGGAAGGAGGCAAACACAGAAAGGGCATTTTGCCTAATGAGAATTGGACATGTGGCTTAGTCCTCTGAGGTCTGAAACAAGTAAACACTTCTAGGATTGTCAGCATGTACATCCCTCTCTCAAAGCAGAGCTCTTAGAGCTGGCTCTCCTGCTCTCTGTTTGTGAAGTTTGTTTTGCTCTTTGGAATAATTGCACAAAGAGTCGTGATAACAAAATGAACTCTACAGGAGGTGGGTTTTGAGTTCTTTGAAAATTCCTGCAGTTAGTGCCAATTGGGAGGCAGGAAATAGTTTTGCATAATGCTATTTGCATAAGAAGGAAAGAACACATCGTTTATTCTAATCAACAAAGTGTGAAAACAAGATTTGGACAGATGTGCACAACCATCTTATCTCTCCTGCCCAAATATTGTATCAAACCATCTCTTCCCAGATAACAATTTTGTTAGCCCAAGAACACATTAGCTCAATCAGATCTGGGCTCTCACTAAGCCTTTTGCTAGCTGCTCTGCTTACTGGTAAATAAGCAGTGTGATTTTGCTTAGCAACCCCTCTGTGGAAAGATAGCTCATGTCCATAAGTGGCGGGGAGGTGGGGAGGCAGGGGAGGGGGGCAAGGAAAGCTAGGTATGTGCCTCTCTGTAGCTGGTTCCTGACATCGCAAACATTATCTGCAATTCTTGGCAGTCTTAGAAGGATGATGAAGAACTAGGGGGAAATTAATGGAAAGGCAAATAAAATTTTCAAGATTGTGAGCTGAGACTGTCTGAGAGCTCAACCCAGAGCCAACACAGAAGAATCAAGGGAGAATGAGGACCTTTTTCTCATTAACAATGAGGTAATTATATGAGATAACGTATCTAGGAAGGGACAACTAACAGTGACTTCCTGAAGTGAAACGAAGATTATCTTAAGCCAGACTTGAGGGAGCATTCCTCAATAGCTAAGGACAGCATTAAATCTGGGACTGTCCACATCTGAGAAAAGATTTGAACTTTTACATCAAAGATAGCCATTAACAATCCCTGAGCACTTAGCCAGCAGTGTGCGAAGCTTTTACACACTTATTTAATCTTCCAAACAATCCTGTGAGGTGGATTCTTGATGTCCATTTTATAAAGGAAGAAACTGATGCACAGAGAGGTTGAGAAACTTGCCTGAGGTCACCCAGCTACATAGCAGTGGGGATGGGATGCATCTCAGGCAGTCTACCCTTAGACTCCAACTTCCTAAACACCCTTTTACAAGTGGTAGTGTGCAGTTGTGGGGCTAACAGGGATAAGAAGCCCAAAGATCACTGGATGATGTGTAAGATAATGTTTGGTTCCATCTTGAAAAAGTGTTCAGTTAAGGTAACTGTTTTTGTTCTGTTTTAATATCTAGAGGGCAGCAAAAACATGGGTATCCAGAATAATAGATATTGCTAAAACCTTATGTCCACACCTCTTCCTTTTATAGTGAAGTATGGGTATACACATTTACACACACACACACACGTAAGACATCTGAGTTCTTAAGTCCCTAAAATACCCCAATGATTGAATTTTCCAAGCATTCACTGGGCATCATCCTAGGATGTCTGCAAGAAACAGCCAAGGCTTGCCTTGGGCGCTGAGGTGAGTGGTGGTGAAATGTTTACCTTGCTGATAAACTCTCCAAGAGATAATGCATTTTAGACACCATTATTTTGCCTTTGTTACATAGCTCCTTCCCTGCCACCAAACAAATCCTGTCCTGTGCCGTCATCCCTTCTGTCCACCTCAGGGAGCCCGGGAATGTCTCCAGCTTCCTACGTACTTGCAAGCCCTCCTTTGCCAACCACAGCCTCATTTGGATTGCAATTGTATTCACATCCTAATTTATGACTTAACAAGTGTCTCACAAACATTTAATTTCATTATGCATTTGAGGAGGACAGTTTATAGAGGAGGGGGAGAATGATGTTCCCATTGCCAGCAATTAGATTAATTTAATGATCTATGGTGAAATCTCCTTTTGGGGTTTGGATTTTCATACATGTCTATAAACAAAACTAGGCTAGTAATAAATACGTTCCTGGATTCTCAGAGGGGCTCACCTGCCTTCACCAAGTCCTGCTATAATACCCAGGCTGGAAATTCATGGAATGGGTAAGACATTCCCGTGATTCTCAGGTGATTCATCTTGTCACGATACTTTCATGAAAAAAAGAATTGGAATTTTCATTTGCAGTTTCAGCAATATCAGTAAATTATCACTTTTTTTTTTTCAGATGGCTTTTCTGAGGAGATGAGGAGGGGACTGTATAAAAGCATGGATCAAATAATTTTTCCCCATTCCCACTTTATATACCGAGTGCCCTTTGGGAGTAAGAGCACACGACTGCTTTTCATAGAGAAGGATTGTATTTCCTAGGGTTTTCCTGTGTATTTTTAGGGAATATATTGATCTCAGAATGGGGGTGTACATAGTGCTGATTTAGATTCATGCAAATAAATGTTCTCCACTATACCTGTTCTTATTCGTTGAACTGAGGCCTCCATTTTGTTGGGTTGAACATACCTGGGACCGGGACCTGAGGCAGGTGGGGCTGAATGTTTCTGAGGTGTGAATAGAGTGGACAGCATCCTTTCCCCCTTTTCAGCTCCCGCATCCCTGGAACTTTCCAGTAAACAAGCTGTGCCGACATTTCTCCCATAGTCGAGGAGGAGGGGATGGAAGGGAGGGGAGCCTAGTCATCTTCTTGACCAGCATTTCCACGGTTGATCCAAGTGGTTGACCTTAGAAGACACTCTCTTGACCATCTCTGTCCTGGGGACACATGGCAGAGGTGTCACTGCTTATGACCGAAGCTTAGGAATTCCTGGACACATTGCACAGTAACAATTTTTTATTCTCTGTCTTCCTTTCCAGTAGGGAAGCAGGACAGCCTGTTGTTCTTCATGGGGGTTAGTCTGGTTGATTTTGTTATGAAGGAGCCAGTGGGGGCAGGACTCTGGCGACTTTGTATGAGCTGGGAAATTGTGGAGTAACTTGAAGTCTGGTTCTATCAGTAAGCACTGGACTGGGAGTTAATCACATCAGAATTCTAATCTTGGCCTTGCCTCTAATTAGCAAAATCATTTTATGCTAGTCCCTCAACCCCTCTTGGCTTCTGTTGAAGTGTATGAATGCAGAGGTCTCTGTACGCTCTGAGGTTCTCTGCCTTCTAATTCACCGGAAGGCAATGAATAGAAAACAGAGCACATGGTAAAGATTTCCTATATCCAATGCCCCAAATGTGGTGTATTTTTGCAGAAAATCAATCTAGGCGATGTGGAAAGGCCCAGTCACTCTGATGTATGTGGTTTTGGTCGGGCTATCGTGCTAGGTCCCCCTGAGGACAGTTTACATGCCAGACTTGGGGACTCTGAGAAGACCTTAAGGATTATTCAGCTCAGAGGCAATGCCAGTGTTGTCTTGAATGCATTCAAGGGGAATACCAGGGAGGCTCCCGGTCCACATCTGGACTCCATTGGCACCATTCCTTTGGGTGACATCTGTCTAATTCCCAATCTAAATGCTTTCACCTCTTGACTGGCTCCTTCAGAAGCTGGCCTGAAATGAAGCTGATCATTTTAGACAGTAACCTGTCGTTCTGACTTGGACTCTTGTCTGTCCCCAGTGGATAACACAGCCTGAACACACTGCAGCGCTGGCTCAAACATGTGTGTTTTAAAAGAAAAGTATGTTATAAGTGTACAACTTCAGCAGGGAAGGAGGGTGAAGAAGCTAGAGTCTGTCTCAAATGTATATGGGGGTGGCTATGTTTTTCTTGTCATCTGAACATTTTAGTCTGTTTCAGGTCAGCTGTTTTTTTGTTTTTGTTTTTCTTTTGTTTTTTTGTCTTTGTTTTTTTCCAACACATTCCCACTGACACAAGGGAAACTAGGTGCCAGGTCCATACCTACCATTGTGGAAAGAGCTCCAAACCTGCACCCTCCAGGAGGAGGGTCAATAATACCACATGAGAATTGGCAGCAAGCCCTTCTTGGGGAATCATTGTGTTTGTACTAGTGAGGAAGTTAGAATCAGCATTTGGGCTGCAGTCATGGAACCACACAAAGGACATTCAAGACATGACCTAAGCAGGGTTTCTTCACCTGGGGTCCACGAACAGGCTTCACTGGGTCTGAGAACCACCTAGAGCATCTGAAAACTTCTGTGCGTGCATTTTTCTAGGAGAGGGCCCACAGCCTTCATCAGATGGTCCCAAAGCTGCCCATGACTGACAAAAGGTGAAAAGCCACTGGCGTAATACATTCTTCCTGTGCCTCTGTCTTCTGAATCCAGGGTGATGAAGCTGACTTGCCTATCTTTCTCCTTTGCTGTTCCCAGAAAAAGCAAGTGAGCCAGACCAAGATCCGGGTCATCTCAACCATCCTGTTCATCTTGGCCGGCTGTGTTGTATTTGTGACGATTCCCGCTGTCATTTTCAAATATATCGAGGGGTGGACCACCTTGGAGTCCATTTACTTTGTGGTGGTCACCCTCACCACGGTGGGCTTTGGTGATTTTGTGGCAGGTAAGCACCCTGGGCATCCCAGTCACCAGGGCCCCAGCAGGGAAAAGATGTTGTTGATAATGTTTTTCAAAACCGTGAGAAACCCTGTTGTGGGAGAAGCAAATGAAAATGGCTCAGTGTCCCTGCTGCTGTGTGTGGACTCATTTCAAGCCCATGGTCCCACGTAATGTAAAAAGCAGCAGATTCTGCTGTGAAATGAAAGCCAGCCTTTTCCTTCCCAGGATGCTCATTGCCCTTATTATCCTATGAATTATGCATGAATGAAATGAATTTCTCATTCAATGTTGGACTTCTGATTTGCATTAAAGCTCCTTGAATCAATTGATAAAAGCTGTATTAGCAAGTGGCAAATATGAACCTCTGGAGAGATTAGCATAAAGCTTGGCCTGCAGCGACCTGTAGGTTAGGGTTCCTGAGGCTGCCCAGGGGAGGACTGTGTTCCCTGCAAAATTTATCCCGGGCATACCCTGACACAAGACTTAGGACTCAGTTGACTACCAGGAGCTGAGAACTGTCCCAAGGGAGTACAATATTATAACGGATACTGCATGAATGTATATAGAAACAATATCCTTCATTGTGAAAATAGATGCCAATGAACTATGTTTATAGAAGCAAAAGGAAACTGCCATCAATTTCAACTAGGGACAGGGAGCTTGAAAATGAAATGAGTGAGATCTGGTTTCTTACATGTATGGCTTTCCCAGAATGTAGTTGGAAGGCAGGAAGAGGAGGCCATCCTTCTCTTTCCTAAGGGATAGTTCCACAGGGTCAGACAATTGATCATTTTCTACTCTGAGAAGTGAACGCTTTGATTAAACAACTCTGTCCTAAGCTCAAAATGTTTGGGTGATGCATGTGCATTGTGTGTGTGTGTGCGTGTGTGCACGTGCGTGTGTGTGTGTGCATGTTCTTGACCAGTTCCTGGTTAAGCAGTAGCCTGGACATTTGCAGGCTGAGCTTGCAGACTGACTGTCCTTTATTTGGCACATGATCCTGGCAGGTGCCTTGGTTTCTTCATGGAGTATGGCACTCACAAGGCGGACAGGGATCTGGAAATCTGGAAAATAGGATATTCTGGAGGGGATATTGAGGGCTCTTCAAAAGACACATGGGTGCCTCCACATTCATTCTGACAGTGATAACCAGCAGGGTGGTCTCCTAGCTGTTCCAACTGGGCAGATAAAGACTGAAGTCCCGTTTGTAAAAATAGCAGTTTTTATTTTTTCCTTCCTTTTTCCTGCCTAAGGACTGAGCACTGCAAAGTCAGAGTGATTAAAAAAGCTGGGGGTCTGGGACCCCACCCCAGTGCTCAGCCACTGTGCCTCTCACCTTGGGTGGGGAGTCACCTGGTGCCATCTGAGCGGAGGCCTGCCACTCTGGAAGGAAACCACAGAGAACTATTGGGACTATTTCACAAACTTCTTCAAGTTCCTCCAGAGCGTAGTTTGCACTGGGTTGTGCTTCAGAGTGCCCTGTGGCAGCCCTGGGCCGTCTGCCGCAGTCTGTTACAGAGGACACTTGCAACGAGCCCTTCTCTCTAAACACCTGCTTGACTCGGCCTGTTGATCTCTTAATCTGGGGGCACAAATAGCAGAACCTTGGGATATAAAATTTAAAAATTTATTTATTTAGTGATCAGCAAAGAGTTTAAATTTTTAATTTGAATTCAGGTTATTGGTTTGCATCTAATTATACCATGTAAGAAAATGCAGGGAAGCTTGTCACTAAAAAAAAAAAAAAAAAAAAAGCCATTTGACAATAACACGATTGAATATTTAAAAGAATATTTAAAATATTTAAAAGTTATACATTGTGATATTATCTTCTAAAACAAAAACTGTTATAGCCTATTCAAATTAGAGTCAATGTATAACTATCTACTATCTGTTTTGGTTAACATTACTGAATCCAGGCCTTCATGTTAATTGAAAAGTGATGATGAATCTGTAAAAAAATAATATGACTTACATTTTATAAAACAGCATCGACTGAAGGACCAAAAAATAAAAAGTAAAATAAAAGGAGCCCCCGATTTAATGCACATGGATGTTCTCGGTTGGCCTATTCGATGGACTTGATTTAGGGCTTTACTAAAAAGGTGAGGAAAGGTAGCGCTGACTTATTTAGATCTTAGGTGAATACAGTTGGCCAACCTAAATGATTTTGCTTATGTTGGTTCTAAGTAAAAATGTTAAAGATAACCCAGGAAAGGACACGTGTGATTTATTTAACACTGTGACGCATAAATGCACGGGAAGTGGGCCCCTGCTCTTTACCATGGATGGGAGGGAACAAAGGACATCCACGTTCTATACCTTTTCACCCACGAGGACCTCACTTGTTAGGGAGCACTGCCCAGCTGGTTGCTGCTCCTCCTTGGGTCGGGGGGAGCAAGGACAAAATGAGCTGGGACTCTGGTGCATCAAGGGGTGCTGCTAATGATTTTAATTGATTATTTGTTCTAATTACCCACTGTGGATTGAGAGCACGTAGTACAAACTTGCACTTGACCTTTATCTTTACTTACCTGGCAAGGGCGTGACCTCCACAGTCACAGGCCTGGCCCTGTTTGAATTCCCTTATTTACTGTTGATTACAGAGCCTGATTTTGTTTGTCCCGAGGTCTCCATGGACAGGTGTCTCTTATAATTCACAGTGCTGACTGCAATTAGACCAGGCCCTTCGAAGCTCTGATTTCCAGAGCTTACATAGATTGGTCTGAAGAATGCACGCCTTAACAGCCTGGAAGTTTGTCACAACCTTTTGGGCAACACTCTAAGAGCAATGGGGAAGGATACCAGATCCTTTAAAAAAAAGGTACATTAAAGAGAGTCGATGACTGCTGTGATTGAACATGGCATCAACCCTTCTAGAAGTATAATTGGAACATTGATCACCATGCAGGATTAAGTGCTGGTTTATTTTGTAGCCGACTCAACGTCAGGACAGCCTAACAACATCACAGCATTTTGGAAACCCTGACTGAGAGTGCGCACAGAGCTCTGAATTCCAGACCAGCCATTGATAAAGAGCCGAAGGGTGTTTATTGTGTTGTTCGCTAGCGCCCCCTAGTGACAAGCTTTGTTGGGTGGCGGCGACTTGCTAAGATGATTATTTCCTCTTAGGCCCAAGGAGAAAGCTGTTCCCTTCTAGGGCAGAGAAGGAATGAACCACAGAAACCACTCACTGGGGCAGGAACTCCAGTAGTATCCTAGAGGAAGCTGCGGGGGAGAGTTGCCTAAAGGAGGGGGGCGGGAAACAAAGGCAGCTAAACCAGACCGAAGGGGGCAGGCCACACAGCCCATTAGTCGTGTTTGGAATTCTAATTTTAAGAGATGGCAGTGGCCATTTAATTTGGGACATTGTGGGTTGCACTGGTCTCACTGAAAAGAGCCCCCGGCCACAGTGCCTGCCCAGCTGCCTTTGGGAGGTATTACTGATACCGTAAGAACTCAGTGTGGATTCAGTGGCGCTAGATGAGGTTACAACCACGACCCAGTGGGAAAGACTAGTAATCACTCATCACGTAGCCCCACAATTACCCATACGGCGCCAATGTCGGTCGTCTTAGAAGTGACCGCGGGCCTGCCTCGCTGGGCAACAGTGTCTCACAGAGTGAGAGCCAGGCTGACGTCAGTTACTTCCTCACTTCCTTGGGGAAGGGGGCTGGGCTTGGACCCTGTTTTGCACGGCTACCTTTGGTAGCGCCTGTAAGAGGGCTAGCATAAGTAGGCTAATTATTTGCAATAAATGACTGGTCCTTTCAGCGCAACAGCTGGTCAATGCAATCGGGCAGCTGGCCAATTCGATCTGATGGATTTCTACTGTAATCCCTACGTATGAAATAAAGGGATCGGACTCGATGGCCTTTTAGTTCTAGCACTAAGTGATTCTAATTACTCAGTCTAATTGACCTTTTGGATTAGCATCATGTAAACACCGTCCCTCAGTTAGTGTTAAATACTGCTGCCAGGATCAAAGTCTCAAGAATGCCATTAGGTCTAATTTTAGTTCCACACATCCACTCTGCTCTTAGTAAATGCGTGTGTTGGGAGAAAATGGTGCCAAGAATTCCAAGCCATTGGGGATTATTGATCTTTTATTTTTATTGCATTTAAAGAAGTTTAAGAAGACAATCGACACCTGGGCCTGATCTGTTGTCCTCTAGCTCACGTCATTCATTGTCAAGCCCTGGTTGAGCAGAGGTGGACCAAGTTGGCCACGGACACTTTTTTGTTATGGGTATTACGGTTGGTGGTCAAGAATCAAAGAAGTTAAGCCACAAGTCAGGCTCCTTTAGGGAAGGGACCCATCTTTTCCTTGCCCTCCCTTGCCTGTCACCTCTTGTATACAGCAGGCCTAACAGTTGAGTGTCAGATGGGGATGGGATGACATCGCTGCTACGTGGACCAGAATATGTTTGTTCTGCAAAGACCAAATGCTAGACCCTGGTTACAGTAACGTTTGGTTGTTTTCAGGGGGAAACGCTGGCATCAATTACCGGGAGTGGTATAAGCCCCTAGTGTGGTTTTGGATCCTTGTTGGCCTGGCCTACTTTGCAGCTGTCCTCAGTATGATCGGAGATTGGCTACGGGTTCTATCCAAAAAGACAAAAGAAGAGGTAGGACCCCTTTCAAATTCTATAGGTGTTTCTGAGATCCGATTAGCTCATGTCAAGAATGACCTGTCTCTATTTTATGGGCTGGAGGGTTTCTTAATACGAGGAGGGCCCCTACGGCGTCCTCTTTTTGAATCATTACCTAAAAGCCAAGTTCAGTGGAATAGCGGTTATTTTTGGGTCCTTTTTTGGCAAGTGAGAACATCTGATGACTCATCAGCCCACAGATCCTGGAAGGACTAGTAAACAACGACTTTTTATTTTTTTATTATTAAAATTTTGGGGGGGGGCGCCTGGGTGGCTCAGTTGGTTAAGCGACTGCCTTCGGCTCAGGTCGTGATCCTGGAGTCCCTGAATCGAGTCCTGCATCGGGCTCCCTGCTCGGCAGGGAGTCTGCTTCTCCCTCTGACCCTCCCCCCTCTCATGTGCTCTCTCTCATTCTCTCTCTCTCAAATAAATAAATAAAATCTTAAAAAATTTTTTTTTTTATTTTTAGAGAGGGAGAGAGAGAGCCAGCCTGAGTGGGGGGAGGGACAGAGAGAGAGAGAGAATCTCAAGCAGATTCCCCACTGAGCATGGAACCCAACGCAGGGCTGGATCCCAGGACCCTGAGATTGTGACCTGAGCCAAAACCAAGAGTCAGACGCTTAACCGACTGAGCCTCCCAGGCACCCCAGAATGATTTTTGAAAAATCGCAGTGGTCAGCAGGGGTAGACCGTAGTTGAGGGAGGTGTGCAGATATGTGGGAGAGGCTTAGAAAGTTTGTAAAAATCTTGAGAAGGATGGGCCTGTCCTTCAGATCTTGGGGTCTATATGGAAATGCAGTAGGATACAAGGACTCCTTCTCGATTCTCTGAGGCTGAAGTTCTCCAACAGTGACCAGCTGTGGGGAAGTGAACACAAGGGGTCCCTTTTCACCTTTATCCCCTCCTGGTTGTCAGATCTATAGAAACAAACCTACCCCCATGTCCAGGGACATGCAGCCTTTTCTCCCTTGGGTAAATGTGCGGGAAAATCTACACAAAAGCAAGAAAAGACAGAAGAGGGGAAGGTAGATCTTGTGATTTAAAAAAAAAAATGTCCATGTAGTTCTTCTAGGAAGAGAGGAAAAGAACTGAAAAGGAGGGTAAGAGAAGAAAAGGAAAAGAGCTAACAAGTGGAAGGGAGATTAAAAAAAACCCCAAAGAAATAAAAAGAGGGAGAGTCTCCTGAAAGGTGACTGCTCACTTCCCGGCAGACAGACATTCTGTGTAGAAGGCCCCGGGACAAAGTTGCTGAATGGGAAAATGTCCCATCTCATTCCCGGGCCCCAGGGTTAGTTTTCCCGGCTTAGAAAAACACTGGCAATGCGATCTCCAGTCTGATTCCCCAGATGGCTAACTGACCTGCTGAAAGTCAGCTGTAGTGAGAGAGAAAGTAACCATATAAATATCGACTTTCCTAAATGCAAAAATGCAGACTGCTGAGTTGCTCGTCTGTATAGAAAACATAGGACTAGCGCTGTTGGCAGTGTTGGATGAGAGCCAAGAAATCTGATCTCGATCCTCATGAATTCTGAGGAAGAATGTTCTGTGGGCTTTCGCAGAACATGACTAGGGAAGTTTGGTTCCCAGATGCCCTGGAGGGTCTTCTTCTTTAAGCAGGGTAAGCCGGATGGCACTCAACCATAGTGTGGCCCAGATTCAGGGTGAGCAACACTCCCAGTTTGCCCAGGACTGCGGGGGTACCTAAGACACAGGACGTTCTGTTTCACAACCAGGACAGTCCCAGTCTAACTGGGACAGGTTGGTCACCCTACGCAGACAGAAGCATTGGAGGAACAGAGAAGGGCCAAGGCCTGGTTGCACCTCTGTTTTGTGCCCGAGTGCATGTCTCTGTCTCGCATAACACTAAACTCGGTGCGCTTGACATGATCACCCCAGTTACGCCGGAGGAATGAGGCCGTACAACTAAAAAAGGGGTGGACGCATAATGCGAACCCAAGCCCAGCCAACTCTAGATAGTGATCTCTCCTGCAGAATGCCTTCCTCCTCCCGTTCGGTCACCACCTCCGCATCTCAGGCTCCTGCCGGGTTCTCTAGCAGGTGTGCCCCCCGAGCCACAGGAGCCAGGAGCCAATTTGAGATGGGTCTTTAGGGCAGAGGTAGCATCCCCACCCAGGCATGGGTTCCCCCACCCCCTGGCCTCCCTGGAGCCAGCCTTCCCATCGGGACACTCAAGGGCTGTGGGCGCTGGGAGGGCTGGGGGGCCTGAGGCGGGTACGACTTTCTCAGCATGCCCTTGCTCTCATGTCTCTCGGCCAGGTCGGTGAAATCAAGGCCCACGCGGCCGAGTGGAAGGCCAACGTGACGGCCGAGTTCCGAGAGACGCGGCGGCGGCTCAGCGTGGAGATCCACGACAAGCTGCAGCGGGCGGCCACCATCCGCAGCATGGAGCGCCGGCGCCTGGGCCTGGACCAGAGGGCCCACTCGCTGGACATGCTCTCCCCAGAGAAGCGCTCTGTCTTCGCCGCTCTGGACACGGGCCGCTTCAAGGCCTCATCCCAGGAGAGCATCAACAACCGGCCCAACAACCTGCGCCTCAAGGGCTCCGAGCAGCTGAACAAACATGGGCAGGGGGCCTCCGAGGACAACATCATCAACAAGTTCGGGTCCACCTCCAAACTCACCAAGAGGAAAAACAAGGACCTCAAGAAGACCTTGCCCGAGGACGTTCACAAAATCTACAAGACCTTCCGGAATTACTCCCTGGATGAAGAGAAGAAGGAGGAGGAGACAGAGAAGATGTGTAACTCGGACCACTCCAGCACTGCCATGCTGACCGAGTGCATCCAGCAGCAGGCCGGGATGGAGAATGGAATGGTCCCCACGGACACCAAAGACAGGGAACTCGAGAACAACGCATTACTTGAAGACAGAAACTAAATGCTGAGGACCTAGGACTTGACCAAGCGTTGTGGTTTTATTATTTTTTTTTATATTCACCCTGAGACATGTGCCTTAAATAGACTTCTCGTTAGTCCGAAATTACATAGCATTGAAGAATTTATTTCACTGTGCCATAAATGACAGAGAAAGATCGCTCTGCCAAAAGGAATCAAAGAACGAGGACCGCACTTCCGACAGGGACCGCAGGACACGCCGGGAGCGTTCGCACAGGCAGGAGGTCGTGGCCACAAAAGTTAAGGGCAGGTGTGGGACGGTGCCATGCCCCCAGTGTGGCGCCGCCCGGGCCGGGCGTGGAGAAAGGGCAGCTATTCCTTAGACCAGCCTTCTGGAAGGAACAGGTGTGTCTTTTACATGGAGCCTCGTTTCCTGAACCTACCGTCAGAGATATGCACACACACAGAAGGGGACCGGATGGGGGATGAACTAGTATCTGCAATGAGGGTTCGAGCTGACATTGTGGCATGTTGCTCTGAGCTTGAATTTTGATACACATCCTTCAGTGCACACCTAGTCTTTCTAAGCTCCAAATGAATGTCCACGGGACCCGGGAGCACGTGGAATTTGTGGGAAACAGATCAGAGCACACGTATTAAAAGGTGCAATTGCTTTCCTCATTACAAAAGAAAAAAAAATCACAAATGCATCACACTGTGGATATCACCTTAACCAATGACAGAAGCCTACTGAATTTTGTCTATCGATGAATGACAAATGAACTTGCAAGCATTGGCGAAAACTCAACCTCATTCGCTGCATGGTTACAGGCAAAAATCATGCATTTTCCTCAGTGGGTGCAGTGGTGAAAATAAACTGGTTTTGAAATGTCCATGTTCACTTTTCTAGTGGAACTTCGGTTATAACTTGTTTTGTTAAGAGGGGGAAAAAATACCAAAATGATTGCCTTGCATGATGCCAGGGGCTTGCTGTTCTGTCTAGCTGACCCTAAATTTTTATAAAAATAGACATCCTGCATGTCTGAGACATACCAAGGAGGACCATGGCATCATTCCATCTCAGGGCTTTTTGTCCCTTTGGGTGTCTTACGGTAGACATAGTGACGAGGTCCAATCTTGCTATCTCCAAACAAAAGAAAAAAATCCCCCAACCAACTCTTGTACAAGAAAATGGATTGTTTTAATTGCTTGCAGCTTAAGTGCCATTAATGCCATTTAAAAACTAATGCTTAAAAGAAGTATTTACAACATTCCACTTTTATGTTTGGGTGTTCCTTATTTTGAAAGCATCACTTCTTTTCCTTGCTTGTTTCTTTGTCTCGAACCTGCTATTCCCTAAAGTTGGAAGACCAGCGTGATTGTCCCAAGGCCAACAATAGCGACACGGTTGTTTCAGGAGGTTAGAACGGCCACTGAAGGAAAGTGGGGGAGGGGCTAGTCAAGTTTTGAGAAGAAGATTTAAATGGATTTTTTAATCAGAAAGGTGCTAGGCTCACCATCCTGTGCGTGCCTCAGTCCCTTGCATAATTGGCTGGCTATCGATGGTTCAGACGTAGCTGTTTGGACCACGCTCTTAAGCATATGGTCCTGGCAACCCCAGGAAGTTGCTGGTGATGGGCTCCCCCCCACCCCCCTGCCCGGGCTCATCGCCACCTTTTGGAGATTTCACAAGATGAACACACAGAGTGGATTTATCAAAAGATCACAAGACTAGCAGAGACTACCTGAAATAATCTAACAATTTCTGACTTCTGGGGAAAATTATACCCACCGCATCCTTGACCGTTGGTATCAGGGCAGACCTCTTCCTGCCCATTTCCCAAAAATGCACAGCTCTTCCTCTCCTGGAGCGCATGTAGCTCCACCTTCCCCTCCCCCAACTTTCTAGGCTCTAGTGAAAGTTCTGGCATTGCTTTTGGGAAGGAGCCAAATAAGAATCAGCTTTCACGAGGCCCTTCCCATCCATGGTAGATTTGGGTTAACACCTCCACTGGGCTGGAGCCGTGGCTCACTGGTGACATCCTGTGTCCACATATTAACAGACACAGAAATGATGTTTATGCAGGTGCGGGCACTGCTCTTACTGTGAGAGTCCTTCCCGCATGACAAGATGTGTTTTGAGTGGTAGATATCTGGGACTTTCTCTATTCTTCTGACAAGTTAAAAGCATCCCGATTAAACTATCCATTGATCTCATTCGTTTGCATTTCCGCCCTGTATTACTCGTTACCTTCTTCATAGTAGTGTGTTAAAAATTCTAGACCCTACAGACAAATCTGGCCGAGAGGCTTCCTTGTTATTTATCCAGTGGTTTCCGTGGGCCAGGCACTAGATTAGGCACTTTATGGGCGTTAGCTCACTGAAACCTCATAGCAGCCCTCTACGGGAAGTGTTGGCAAACACATTACACAGATGAGGACACGGAGGCTCAGGGAAGCTGAGTAACTTACCCAATGGCACACAGCAAGAAGGTGGTAGAGCTGGTATTCAAAGGCTGTCTGACCAAAGTCTGCTTTTGACTTTGCTATAATGTCCATGTCATGCACTCTTGTGCGTGTGTGTGTGGTGTGTGTATGTGTGTGTTTGTGTGCATGTGTGTCTTTTTAGTTTCATGGACACGACATACAGAGGTGGAGAGAAGATCTCTATTACCAAGAGGGTATGAAGTCTTTGTGTAAACAGGACCTGAAGTGTTACCCTTACAGATAATTATACCTTATTTCGGTTTGGGTTTTGGGGATGCTGTATGTGGCGCCCTTTCTGTATTGTTAGAAATGTCCTTTGAAAGCACTCTTTTGCACTTTACTTGCTTACCTTGCAGGAACTCCGTATACAGCAGGAATAAAACAATTCAAAGCACTAAGCTGCACATTCTACCAAATGGAACAGGTGGTGTGTGCGTAGACACTTCCCCAAAGGAGTCAAATCACAGTAATGCAGAGGAATCAAAAATAGCCCTTGGCTGAGAGTGGGAAAATATCCAATATAACCTGTTCCCTGAGTACAGAGGGGGCCAAAGCCCTGACGAATGAAATCCAAGAAGAGCCCTCCCTCTATGGAGATTGATCCATTAAGTATGTGGGAAGTATTGGACAAACTATAACATACTCTCCAAAGGAGAAGCTGAAAGGGAATAAGAGCTTGGACTTCTCTTAGTGTGTACAAGCTAAGATTTGGGGGGAGGCCAGTTGTTATGAAGTTGTGTGAATGGTACCCTTTTAAGATGGGGCCAAATGACACGTAGCAAATAACACGTGGCAAAACTGCTGCAAATTCTAAACGCACATCAGCACAGCCCTGCCCCTAAACACACACCCCCACCCCGCCATAAACCTGGAATCAATGCCTTGATTTTGCACACGGGAAGAGCACATGTTCAGTATCTTCAGTGGGTGGTGGTGTCTCTTGCTTCACACGGTAGCTGGGTACCCATATTTTCTTCCCTAATAGATCTGGAGGTTTACTGGGTAAATACCCAGTCCTAACCCAATAGTGAACTCTATTGGGGTAGGGCCCTAATGTGTGTGTGGGTAGGAGTGTCCCTGGCCTACAGGTGAGGCGACAGGGACTATTTGTCTGTGCTTCCCTGTCCCAGCCTGTGAGCGTGGGCACCTCGGTCCCTATGCTTCTCTGTTACCTCATCAGCACACCAAGGGAGTTGAACACAGATAATCATTAAGGTCCCTGTTAGTTCTGCAGTTCTCTGACCAAACCTCCCCTGGTTTATGAGTTTGTTAAATTCATTAAGAATGGTATTAGTTGGGTTTTGTATACTGACTAATGGGCCCCCTCATTTTAGGCTAAGAGGAGAGCTTAGTCTCCTGCCCTTTGGGGTTTGTTTTCTGGTAATTGATGGAGACCAGATGTATTTGGGAGCCTGGTGTCCAAATTAGAATCGTGCCCTGTGTAGGCTCACACTATCCTCCCTTACAGCACACGGTCACCCGGAGGGCTCAGGCTACATGGGCATTTTTTTGCATGGTGTTAAGACTATTTAAAGAATTTTAAGCTGTTGCTATTTGCAGTCAATTGTGGTGAAGTTTCCCTTTGATTACTTCATGAATTCATATATTATAGACAGGTATCTGTCACACACACACACACACACACACTGGAAATGGCTGCTTTGGGTTCCCTGGGGACCATTCGATGTTGAAAGTCCTAGTTGTGCTAGACATTAGCAAACCACCCCCTTACTTCCCTGAGAGGATGTCATTTCCTGGCTGAGTCAATGCTGCTCATCTATTTGTGTGCTCAGTTTTGGGGACTAGTGAGAATGTGGCCAGAATCTGGGTGGGGCAGATTTATACTCATTGGATTGGGTCAAAATGTAGACCATCCAATGTATACCATGGTTTCTGAACCACAGGAAAGGCAGAGGACAACAAACAAATGTGCAGAGACGCTCTAAAAAAATGAGGGAAAAACCCAGGGTTGCTTTTCCGGTCTCTGCTTTCTGCATCCCACTAAGGTTTCAAGAGGAGGTTTATTATTTCTGCCGCGACGCAACTGCGTGCAAAGACCTGGCCGCTGCAGCGCTGGTGTAGTGTAAGAGCTAGTTAGCGATGGCCTGAAAAGATAAGCACGGGAACTCTCTGGAACAAAGGTGACTCGAATTTGGCATTGGAGGTGCTGTTAATTCTACATATGGAAACTTGGGAATAGCATGTTGATGACGTGGCTATAAACAAAGCCCTGCACTCTGCCCTTGCAGGATAAACCAGCAGCCATCCCTGTAAACCTCAGTCCACCCGCGGCCGCCCCCGGGTCACGTGACACCAGCACAGCGGCATTGAGGAGCAATAGGCAGTGTCTCTGATTTTACAGAAAGTGATGATCCTTTTCACAGGTGCCTAAGAGATTTGAAATCTACCTTCTGTTATTGGTTCTTAAGTGAAAAATCTCTAACAGTTCCCTGTGCATTAAAAAAAAACAACCAAAAACATCCTTGAGAGGACTCAGCTCCGTTGGTACAGCAGACCAGGGCTGCACAGGGTGATTGGAAAGACCTCTCCTTTTGCCACCAGGACGCCGGGCTTGGAGGGAGGAGGTGCAGTGGTG